TAATAATAATAATAATAATAATAATAATAATAATAATAATAATAATATAAACTAACAAGTTGGCTAGTTACATCCTTCAGTGTTTTCAATGTTCTATTTTCTTTCCTGCTCCCTTCTAATGCATATATTCCACCTAGGGAGGTTTGCAAATTTTAAACTCAATATAATGTTTACAAATCAAATCCTGGGAAACAGAGTAGCATTTAACTTCAGTTGTACAGTTCAATCAATATCTGATTTTAATTTAGGTATCAAAAGAGCTATTGCTTTGTTTCAAGGTATACAAAAACATGAAAGAACACAGGTTCTATTTGTTTAAAATAGAGTTATTACATATTGTGCTTTTTTCTTAAAAGCTGCAGAAGCTTAACATAAAAAGTCACACAGCTGCAGCCTTCTCCTCATCTGATCCTCTTATGTTTGTATTTTTCCCTTTGGTCACACTAGGCAACCATTCTCCCACCTCTTTGAAATACAAAAATACACAGTCCCCTCAAGTGGGATTCTAATGAATAGGAAATATTTTAAATTAACCCTTTCCTTGGCCCACATTTTCACTTGTTCTTTGAAGTACCTATACCACTACTCTACCAAAGGTGAAATGAAAGAGAGGGTATCTCTTATAATAGCCATTTTCACTCTTTTTCAATATTCCCTTACTGTCCTTTATCATAATAAACTACCTTTCTACCAGTATTTGCATATCTTAACATTTCCCCTTTTTTCTTATACATTCTACCAACCTGCATAATTTGCACACCAACTCCATTTTTGCCATTTGTATCTAACTTGCAACTGTTTACTACATTTCATTTTCAAACACAATTATCTTGCTCTTTAATATATTAATTTCCAGACCCATACATCCAGCTCCATCATAAATCTTTGGAACATTTTACGCAAGTAATTTGGGTTTTCAGCCAACAGTACAATAATATTTGCATACCAAAGTACCTGAACTTTCGTATCCTCAAATATCACATCTCTATCACATCATAAGAACCATTCCTTCTACTTTCACCTATTAATACATTAAACAACCAAGCAACATCCAATATCTCACCTAACACTAAACCATTCATTCCATTTATTCTCACCCTAACTTACTTCAATCAAGTACAAGGCTTATCACACTCATCAACCAAGCTCCAATTTCTATTTTATAATATTTTAGCTCAAAGGAAAGAATAACTAAAAGATGTAACCAAAGAGAAAAGAAGTATGTTTTTAAAAAGTAAGATATGTTCGAATAGAATGAAGTGACAGCAAAGGGTCATTGTTGTTACAAAAAACTACTACTGCAGCTGTGTGCCTACTACAACAGCCAAATATGAAAGCTAAGAATTGCACATGGTCTCTGGTTTAAACCTGGATATTTCTTTGAAAAAAAGTTTGCTTTCTGATATCCATAAACTTAGTTCCCTAAAATACAAGACTACAGTATTATGAAGAGAGAAATCTTGCTCTGCTAGAATTAGACAAAAGTTGTTTCAGCTTTTAATTGGATAGTCATGCAGGGAAAGAAGAAAATCTCTATTATTTTTGGTAGGTATATTTCCACTGAATATACTGACACATATTCATGCTCTTCTTAGCCCATGCCAGTTACCATTAGCACCAATCTACCTTGCCCATTTATATCAAGGCCCAACATTTGAGCAGTGCAGACCCCAGGATCCCACAGAAAAGCGATCTCTTCTACCTTCAGAATGCCAAGGAAATATATTGAGAATCCAGACTACAGTAGGAATTCTGAGGCTATTACCTGGTATTTAAAGCGCAAGAGAATCTACAAGCTAATACTGTACTCTGGATCCCAAGATTCAAAAGAGCTAAAGCTATTTTTATATCCATGATCACACACTCTTCATGGCATTTCTTTCACTTACTAATCCATTCTGGATTTGCTGAACATTTCGCCTGATGCCAGCCTGCACAAATCACAGCAGTTCTTTTAAATGTATTTTGCTTACATTCATTTTGCAATTTAGAAGCTGACCAAATCCATGACACCCTGGTCTGCTTACAGTATTAGCAACTGTAAACAACAGCAAAAGAAACACAGGCTATGTACTTCTGGAAAAAATCACTTAATCTAATAAACTGGATGATAATTTGAGTTTGAGGCGCTGCCTTAAATCATCGGTGCAAGTTTCTCCAAAGTTCTGAGGGACCAACAGATTTGGAGGGCATGGAATTTTTCAGTGCATACAGTCAATTGACTCCTTCGTTGCTTTGGCAGCTATATTTGAAAGAAAAAAGACCTACTTGATTTTCCCAGTTATGATAAAGACTAAGGTGGCAAGAGAACATTGCAAGGAAACTTATGGAAGCAAAAGACCATCCTGATGATACTGCAGATTTAATATTTTTCTTGGATTATGTACTGAGCCAGTTGGAATATCACACCAAATCTTAATTCACTATGATAAGACACCCTGTTCTCACAACTCATTTAGGTGGGACCATGATAAAAGCCCTATCAGCTAACAAATACAGCTACACCAGAATAACACTAATTCCACACACTTGAGGGGTCTTAAGAATGCTTAAACCCAGTAACTTTGCTCAGTCCTTCAAGAAAAAGAGATGGAGATTCCAACTCTTCAAATAAATATTCCATCTTGTACACCTAAATATCTAAGGAGATTCTCAGTCATCCAGGTCATAGTTGTCCCAAAGGTACTTTTTCAAGATGCAACTGGACCTTCTGTTTTTTCTTTGAAGACATTTCACTTCTCATCCAAGAAGCTTCTACAGCTCTGACTGGATGGTTCTTCTTCCATTCCCTACCATCCAGTCAGAGCTGAAGAAGCTTCTTGGATGAGAAGTGAAACATCTTCAAACAGAAACCAGAAAGTCCAGTTGCCTCTTAGAAAAGCACCTTTGGGACATTGTACACCATTGCAGGTGATTAATCTCAAACGAGGAGTCTCTTTCAAGGCAAAATGCAAGGACCCATTTGGTCTGCAGCATCTTTTTTTAAAAAAGAGACAGTTTTCTGACTCTTTGCTGCCATCTAATGGTCACCCAGATTTTTGCAATGAGATTTGGTAACCCTGCTGAAGAAGAAACAAGAAACTTGAATTTTTTACAATACTAACTCTTAATTTTTCTTGACAATGAACAACCATTTCCAGCATCTTCTATTAAGAACAATGTGGCTTCAGAATGCATCCAGCACCCCAATATTTGGGAAATGGGTTCCTTTTAGTTAATCCCAGGCCACTGATCCCAGATATAATTTTCTACTTCTTTCTACTGATGAGCTAATTCAGAAATTGAATTTCTACTGATGAGCTAATTATGAATTAATCAATGTCTCAGTGGAGTCATCGTTGTCAGGACAACGAACAGAAAAATGCATCCTCATTAAACCTCTTGGAACAAATCTATTTTCATATAGTATAGTCAATCATGTATCAGAGAAACCTCATAAATACTTTTTATATATTACTGGTTTTTTTTTAATAATCTCAGGAAGCTGAACAACAAACCCATCTTCTTTAGGAGATAGGCTGCCCATTACAACTTCTGTCTGCAAAGCCAGTTTCTCAATCCCATCATCTTTAAGACATGTGGATACAGGCTTCCAGAATCAACCAGCTAGCAGGGGGGATTCTGGCTGGGGAATTCTGGGATTTTTAAGTCCACAATTTTAAAGTTACTGAAGTTGAAAAACCCTCAGCCTCACTAAGCCAAATATGACAACTACTAGATAGTGCAGATGAATTCACGTTGTCTACACCTGATGTGAACTATGGCATCCAACAAAGACAAGGTGAATGATTGTGATTGCATTTGGGGCAAGGCTGAAGCAGCTGTGAACTAAGTTCAAAACCCTTCCTTTCGTGCAGCATTCATGAAGTAAGGAGAGTCCTTTCCCTTATAAAACAGTCACAAATTCAAAAGGAGGCAAATGTACCCAATATCCAGGAGATGTTTTAACATGACACTCCTGAGGCAGTGATGAGATTTGATTATGAGAGCAACCAAGATACCACTGAGAGATCTAAAAGGCCAATTTTGGATAGTTTTGGAGAGAATATGATTGCTAAGAATCTACGTTGACTTGATGGCTCTTAGTTGATCAGCCAGTCAATCAATAACCTAGGGTGGTCTTCTCCTACTTGATATCCTCTGAATGGATAGCTCAAACCTGGCTGGAACTGAAGAGTGATCTAGCTGATTCTAGTTGCTGAACAGAATTCCTGCTTTCATGCCCTATAGAATAGATACATCCTTAAGGGATGCAAGCAAAACCACAAAATGCACACACTAAATAAGCAACAGAACTGTGCTTCTCAGTCACAGAGGAGGAAGAAGAAGGAAACAGGGAAAACAACTTTCCTGAAAAGTTTGATAATGCCTCCACCAATGACATAGCTGGATTATTAGTAACATGAAATTATCCTATGCCCATGGCATATAACAATACGGTAAGATAATTCCATTTAATCCCAATTAAGGGTATAATTTATCAATACCACATTCTACTGTGCCTAGATTTCTCGGCTTTACAGTTACTAATATTGACAGTGCAAACTATCTTTCCAGTAGTTTATACATAGTACAACATCATTGCAGATATTTCCTTTCCCCAACATTTTTCCCTCTCAAGGAAAAATTTCTTTCCATGCAATAGTCTTTTGCAATAATTATGGACTTATTTTAAAGCATCATCTGCGAAGTTCATGGAACTTTGTTTTCATACATGGATTCTTCTTGGATGCTTATAGGGAATTAATATATTGAATATTTAGAGGATTTTTACATTCACAAAGAAACTTTACAGCACAGCATCTAATCTAAAACTAACATTACAAATGAAAAATAACATTATTAGTTATATTAACCTGAGTTCAAAATGAATTGTAATAATAATAGAAAATCTTTACAATAACAGAATTTCAGACCTAGATAAAACAAACACACCCTTAAACACTTGATCAAGCACGTTAAAATAAAATTCATGTATCCAAAAAATACATGCATCCACAGGCAGCTTCCTATATTTCCTGTAGGCATACCTGCACACTGTGAGGATGACACAGACATGCATATATTTACATATTAGGAAGATGCAGCTCTGTATTATCCTTAGTTGCCCAGTCAGGACGAAAAAGGGCAGTTGCTGCCGGAGCCTTAATTCCCAAAGAATAGTTTCCTGGTTGTTGTTTTGATGCCAAATAAGAGGCATTATATAGCACCTTTGGCTTAAGATATAAGGCGGAAGGCAAACCGCCTTGGGAAGGTTCACTTCCCCATCCTCCAGGGAGGGTTTTCACAATCCTTGGGTGATACGTTGGACTACATTAAAATAATTCTTATTCATATGGAGGAATAATAGTAAACAAGGAATAAAAATAAGAGGCAATAATTTCTTATTCAGATGAAGAGAAGGCGGGGAAGGAACCCCAAGGCCATCCACGGACTCTCCACTCCTTCCAGGAGTTTGGGTGCTTCAGCGGCCGCCCGGCTTAACTCCAACTTACTTCCTCGCCTCCGAAGAGTCGCCCTGTCCCCGCTTGCCTCGCTGACCCGGGAACGAAGCTGTCTGGAGAAGAAGACGAAGAGCGGCCCCCCCGCCTCACCCGCCGCCAGCAGTTCAGGAAAGCCGCCTCAGAGCTGGACGGCCGGCCGACAGTCGCGCCCGAGAAAAGGAGAGCGCGCCAGGTCGGGAGGGCCGGGAGGCGTCCGGCCACGTGGGACCACCGCGAATTAGCGCCCGGCTGGTTGAAGAGAGACGCCGGAGGTTATGAACAGGCAGCCCGCTCTTTTTAATGAAAATATATATCTTTTTTTTTTTTTAACTAAATAGAGCGGGCTGCCTGTTCATAGCCTCCCGCGTCCTAAAGCAGGTAGAACTGCAACCGTCCCTCTCTTCAACCAGCTAACTTTGGTTCCATAGGGAGCAGGAAGGGATCTAATGGCGACCTATTTTTCCAGCCGACGGTGTCCGGTGTTGGAACTGATAGCCTTCATGGAGACTGTGTGGTCGAGGAAGGTGCCGCTTGTAATCAAAAGCATAAGAGGAGCTGTCCTGCATCATCATGGGCAGAGCTGGGCTGCCCCATTCGGCTGTTCCCACCCTAGCCGATTATTAAAATTCTGCAGAAAACTGTTGGCAGAGATGCAGTGCAAGTAGAAAAGCAAAGTAGTCGTTAAGTAAGTTCCACCTGATTTTTTGACCTTTGGCCACATTGAAGTGAATCACACTCCAGTTAAGTGAATCGAGTGGTTTTAAGCAAATTCAGGTTCCCCCATGGATTTTGCTTGTAGGAAAGTTGGCTAGGAAATTTGTAAATGGTGATGGCATGACCCCAAGATGCCAACTGGTTTATATAACAAACCTTGATTAAGTAAGTTTTCTTAGTTTTGTATGAATGGGAATCAATTTACATGAAATAGTTCTTTTGTGCTCTTATGTTCTCTGCAGACCTGACTCACCACCATTTAATTCTTTTAAGTTGCCCACTCCTGTGAGAATAACTTAGTATGATGAAAAGATTTTATCCTGTCCTTTTTATAAAGATGTAGACTTGATTAACCCAAGGTAGCTTACTTAATACTCATGCCTCCTATTCGTTGTCCTATCCACAACAACTTTGTAAGGTGGCTTAAGCCAAGAGTGACAAAAAAATTTTTGCATCCTTTTGAACTTTTCAGATTTAACCTTTTCAAGTTTGTCCTTTATTTTTTCCAAGAAAATGTTGCCACCGTACTAATATTTCCATGTCAGAAACACCAGTGCTTCTGTAGTGAAAAGATTTGCCAATTACAGCACCGTAGCCTTCGGGGGCTTCTTTTGCAGCCATGTGAAGTTACCCACCAAAGTGGTACTTATTTATCTACTTGCACTCACCTGCTTTTGAACCGTTGGGTCAGGGGTGTCAAACTCACGTCATCATGGTGACATCACGTGACATATCGGGACTTTTTTGCCTTCACTAAACAGTGTGGGTGTGGCCAGCGCATGACGCATCCAGCCTGTGGACTGGGAGTTTGATAGCCCTGCGCTGGGTCAGCAGGAGCTAGTGTGTGTGACGGGAACTCACCCCGCCCTGTAGCAACAACAAATCTTGAATGTGAGGCTGTCCATTGCCAGCCCAGCATTCTAACCTGGTGAGCCACCCAACTCCCAGAGGCCACTTTACTGGTAGTGCATATTTTTCCAAAGCAGGGACAGTCTTCCAAATGTTGAATTTCAAAGCACCATCAAATCTGGGGATTATGGAAGTTACAAGTGTTAATTTGCCTGGTAACTATGGGGTCATCAATTTTTAACATATAAGCCTTAGTCAAAGATGGAAAGCATCACTTCAGATAGCAAAAAGTCTTTGATTGGCATTAATGAACTGAAGACAGATATAATAAGCCCATATGGTTGTCGAAGAACCATGACAGACTGCGATTTCTTTGATGGAAGTATTCTCCAACCCAGGTAACATCAGAATGTATTGATTCCACTTTCCACAATTCTCAGGGCCGATCTAAGTGAAATATATCTAACTGAAGGCTGGTCAGCTTCAAAAAAGTAGCTTTAGAATTTACAGTGATGAAAAATTCATCCCTCCCCCCTCAAAACTATATCCATCCCCAAAGAAAATAGTACTGCATTGACTGAAAGCTTATGATAGGTAGTTTTATTGTCCAATAATACTGATTAAAATATGTACACTCCTATGTCTGTAAATCCGCAGTTAAAACACTCATATTTATGGCTTTGGATTTTTCTCAAACCTTTTAAGCACAAGATCTTTCAGTCATGGGTCATAAAGTTTAAATAATAAAACAGTAGCCTGATCCATTGCGTAGACACATTTACTTCGTATTTTTAATGTTTTTCCTTTAAATATAAAATGTACCTTTTTTCTAAAAAATAAAAATCTGGTGATGCCAGTGCAACCTATTAGCCAACTCATATCTTGTTACAGATGCAGTTGCATTTTCCCAGTATAATTGGCCCTTAAAAATTGCCAGTGTTCAATCCATTTTCCCCCATCCACGTTTATTTTAATGCAGAAAAAAACCCTGATAGCAAACAATTGTAAGCAAGATTACAAAGCACTATACAGTACTATGTACACTGCCTTTTGTATTAGCTTGTAAGAACTGTAAAAGCTTTGTGGAAGTTTAATTACTTTATTGTATGAAGGCACGAAGGTTGTTTTTTTTTGTTGTTGTATTCACAAAACCTAAGCACACTCTACCTCCATCCCAATAATCTTCTAGAGTAGACCTTGAAAATAGTGCTTAAAGTTAGGAACATCAGCAAATAATGCAACTACCGCAAAATATTAAATGGGAAAGAAGGAAAAATATCTTTTTTCTTAAAGCAGATTACCCAAATTTATAGATAATCCATACTAACATTGCCATGTTAATACTAAACTCCATATTCTGAAAGGAAAATAAAACTTGCTTCAGAAATTTCTCACAATGACAAAACAGTATAATCTAGCAGAACTCTACAATTAAACTTCACACAAAGCTGTTCATCTCCAGAATAGCCTTTGCTCCGTGTTATTTTATTTTAAGAAAACACACACACACAAAAGGGTTTTTTCCTTCCTAGAAATAAAGAAGGGGAGTTCAATCAAATATTCTAACTTTGGTCCACCTGTCCACTTGCCTAAGGGCACTGATACAAGAGAGCTGTCCCATGGGTAGGGCAAAAGTCAAACAAGAAATTTAACAAAAATAATTTGGTATTAACTTTCCCCCCACAAATCACATATAACGCGGTCCAAATTGTTTAGCTCTCCACCTTTTCCTCTTGCATTGCCATTATTGGCTGAGTTTTTAAATCATGGGATTCTTCATGATCTGCTCCTTGTGCCTTGTGCATGATCTGCACCTTGCTGCTTGCTGTCAGTTCTTGATCCATGGGCACTGACTCTCCCTGTTCTAGATCATGTTCCTCCATAAGCTGAGCCTCAACTTCTTCCATTTGTAACTGGTTCACATGTCCCACATCCAGCTCTTCCATATGTACTTCAGTACCTTGTTCAGTCTGAATGTGTTCAACCTCTAAGTAGCTTATTTCAACCTGCTCTTGTAGCTCTGCTATTTGTTCATGTTTTTCTTGATTATTCTGTATCAAATCTGGATGTACCTGTTCTACAGTCACTTGGGCTGGATCCACCTGGACCTGAATTACGGGCAAGACATGAACTTGTTCCACCTGCTCTATAATTGTCATGGACGCCACTGGATCACTGTCCACTGGAAGAATATCGTCAGATACTATGTGCTCTGAAATGTTGTGGATCTCTTGCAGATGCCTCCGGAGTTCACTGCCTTGCATGAACCAAACATCACATAAGGTACAGTGGTTGGGTTTGTCACCTGTGTGTATTACCAAATGGTCCTTGAACTGATCCCAGCTGTTAAACACACTGTTGCAGACCTGAAAGAGCAAGGCAGAGTGATTTTAGGAAAGCTGTTGAAACATTTAATATATGGCTGATGTTCAGGGATGTTTAAATTCATTTAATCCAAGAACATACTCTTCTATAGCATTCTGCCATTAGTTCTGTTTCCCTTGAATCAAGCCAAACCTCCTCCAGACCAAACCAATCCAACCAGCCAGTTAAGCAGTTTTCTATAGTAAATTCTGAGAACTGGATGAACTGGTTCAAGAATGAAACAGGCCTGATTTAGGACCACTTCCTGACACATGTCAAACCATTTCAAGTTTTAAGGATTTTTTTTAAGGTGCTAAACCCCAAAACTGCAAGGTCTAAAGGAGATTGAAAGGACCCTGCAAATACACTAACCTGGCATCCATTTGCCCTTCCTCCCTCCCTTTCCCAAACAAGGCGGGGCTTTTTTATTTAATGTGCTAAGTCTTTATGTCTCTTGGCACTGGGGATCCTCCCATGAAAAAACAAGATCGTGGTTTAAATTCAGAGAGATCCTGTCTTGTGATGCGTTGTCAACAGAGAATATTGTTCTCCTGATATGACCACAGGCAATAAGTTTTCGTTCCTAGCAAGTGGCTGCATTTGCCTGGCCTCATCCAAGCCAAGAAGCTAAGCAGCGATGGGTCCTGCTAAATGGGAAGTTTCCAGGATATGTGAATTAGACTGGCAAACAGGCATTGGCAAACTTCCCATAGTATAATGTGAGCTGCCAGGAATCTACTGAATTAGATGGAATAAAATATAAGCAATGTAAGAAAAAAGCAAACCAACAAATATGCTGGGGGGACGGGGGGCGGAGGACATGACACCACCAAGAATCAAACTTGTCTGAAGGAGATATAATAAAGCTTCTGTTTACTGAATACAGAGTAACAGCACGAAAGCTGAAGATTTGTTTTTTTTGTAGATTTGCTATAAAAGAGTGGATGGGACAAAAACTGGGAGTTTTTTTTTCTTGTATACAGAGTTTGGGGAGTTTTAAGCCTTGCAAAATGTTTAAACATCCATTTTATTCTTTCAAAACCCCTCAGTCCCCATAAAAAAAGAGGCTCTGCCTTATCTAGTTTTGAAGCACAGCTCAGGCCTCCCAACGTTCAGAATATTCCTGAAGGTGAAATGGTTGTATTACTCTAGAGTTGAGGGCAAAGCAGTATTAAAAAAGAAAAAAAATCCTTCCACCCCTTGGAAGAAAAGATATCTTGGAAGAACAGCATCAAGGAGATACCAAAAATAGCCATTCAGGTAGTTTATTTTTTAAAAAATTAATTAATT